TGGTAATCTAAGGTTTTGTGTGCTTTATTCGTAAATCATGAGTTTAGGTTCGAAACACGTAGAAGGAATGCAAGAAACCCCTTAATTTTTTCCCTAATTCAACTTATATTTATTTTGTTAGTAAAGGAACTTCAAAAAGTTAATAATTAGGCTGAGAATTTGAATTTGTATTTAACCATTTATATAGCTATTTAAAAAATGCTTTTGTAAAGTTAAAAAAGAAATAATCGAATAAATTTTGAATTATTATTGGGGTAATTTATACTAATTAAATAAGAAAATCTATAAGTTATAAATAAGATTTCTTATAATCAAATAATACATATAAATATTTATAAATTGTTTCATTTAAGTACACTGGAAGATAAGATTGAATTTGACTAATGTACATGTTAATATTAAATTTTGTCATTTTATATTAAATATACAAAAAGTTAATTTTAGCTATCAAACTTTATGTAAATAATAAAACATAAAAATATAAATCAGTTGACATGTTACTTGTTAAACAATAAATGAGTTTGTTCATAAACATAAATAAATAAGTTGAACTATGTTTAATTTTGTTTTATTGAATCAATCTTTGGGTTTTTTAAAAAAGTTCAAACTTATTTATTTACTAAATTTAATAAACTTATTCGAGTATTAATCAAGCTGAGTTTGTATTATTCATTGTCTCAATTGGTTCATTTATAGCCCTAATTATAATGGGTGGATGAATTTTTGAATAATAAACAACCATTATGAAGCATCATTATGTAAAGATGGATGAACAAATGTAATGAAGAATCAATCCCAACATTTTAAAAATAAAACATGAAGAATAATAGATTTAATTGAATTTTGAATAAAGAAAATAAATAACTCTGATGAAAATCCATTAGCAACCAACTATTAACAATACCCATATTTACCTAAAAATGAAGAAAAAATCATTAATCAAAAAGGGCATATAGAATAAGATGTGATGTAAATATCTTATGATCAAAAGGTCCACCAAAAAAGAAAAAGAGTCACAAAATAAATTAAAATTAGGCATAATTATTATTTAGCTGTAATTGATCTTCAATTGTAAATTATTGTATTTTATAAGTTTCAAAGCACTAGTTCTTAGGCTTCATACATAGGTTTCTAATATAATCTTTCATTTTTACCTCTTCTATGATGCACATGGGAAAAATGTTTTAAATAATATCAGTCTAAAATGGCATATCTTTATGAGATAAAATATAATATTTTTTAACTTCATTAGTAGAATTAGGGTCAAAATCAAGCTTCATACACTTTGATGAGGCAAGAAATAGAGATTTCAATTAATTTATAATAGCATTTCTACTATATTCTATTTGTTGGATGACACAATCGCGATATGAGGAAGAAGTTGATAATCCAAACAAAAACAAAATACAAGAAAACTTCTATTCAAAGAACACTTTAATAAATTAGAGATATTTTTGTTTTGGAAAAAAAAGTGGTTCCTTATCGAAAGAGAATCTCTTGCATATGAGCATTCAAGAGAAACATTTCTCCAAAGATAGCTATATGTTGAATCAAATGAGATGATGGTGATGACATAAAACAAAACTCTCTTAAAGATAATATTTTGTCAATAGCCATGTTCTAATGTTCCAATGAAAATATTCTCTTTAAAAACCTAACTAATTATATCAACTCCACCAATATATTTGCCACAAATGATGGAACCTAAATGTTATCTAGACATCCATATGAGAATGATGAAACCAAAAGTGAATAGATTTTTTTTTTCAAAAAAGTGATATAAGGACTGGTGGCGACCCAAATTAGAATGACTGTAGATACATCAAATATTTTGAAATTATTTATCTTTACACATTCATATGGATGATCCAACAATGTTGATGATTTTGCTGAAGCATAATGTAATTTTATTATGCTAATGAGATATTGGTAAAGACTTGTATTAAATCAAGTTGTAAGGAAGATATATCCCTATTCATATTATGATTTAGGAAGCATCTAATAGATGAAAGTAAAGTGTGACTATTTATCAAATTTATCAAGAAAAAAGTTCTAAAGGCTTAATCAATCGAGTAAAGGCATTTGGAGATGAAAGAAGTCAAATTACCTTAGAAGAATATAAGATATTTATATTGGCTTGAGTTGATTGAAGATTTAACTTTAGTAGGGACAATTAAAAAGTTTCTATTAAGAAACGTTAGTTCTTAAACAAATTGGCAAAACAACTAGCACAAAGCCAAGAAAAAGCAAAAATCATAAGATATAAAAGCATCATCCTAGCTAATGCAAGCATAAACCCACAATAGGACCAATGACTAGCAGCACCACATTGTTTAGGACAACACTTAAAAGAAACTCGCAATTTGAGAGGAGTAAATACAAAATCAACAATAACACCTAAGCACTATTGCATAAATAAGTGAAATTCAAGGGTGAAACGAGCAAAAAAAACATGCCCAGTATGAGAAGAACATAAAGATCGACCCCAAATGGTGCCAGCATTAAACTGGAAATAGTCCAAGGAAAGGAGGCATTGTTTAGCAATACCAGCATTAGTTTTGTTAGTTCTGGACAAATTGGTTAATGAAATCATAATTAAAAAAAAAAATAAAAGAAAAAAATCATAATTTAAAAAATATTAATAATTAATTGTTTCCCTGCGCTGGTTAATGTTTAGATTAACATTTTCATAGTTTTATCAGTATTTAGTCATAAAAATTAGACATGGTGTATGCATTTAATTAATTTTTTTCATTTAGTTATTACAAATAACACATATTTTAATGTTCGAGATTTTATTTTTTATTGGCTATTTATGTTTTCAAAGATATATAGTCAACAGATCTTCATTTTTTTTTCTTTTTGCAAAAAAAAATAAAAATATAGACTATCTAACATCTTATTGCTTTAACTAAAAATTAAAATAAAATAAAATCAAAACAAAACGAAAATGAAATGATAAACATACATAATTCAACCGTGATTTTACCTTTAGGTTTTAAAAAGCTTATTGTCATGCATTTCATTTGAAGAAGATGACCACATAAAACCATGTCAAACTAAGTTTATGACATCCATCCCAAGCTGATATGCTCTAGCTATACCAATAAATAAATAAACAAATAATGTGCTTCAATATCCATGAAAGTAAATTATATTACACGTTTTTTAGAAGTTAACTAATATGGTATTAATCGAGTTTTTTCTAAAATATAGCTATTATTTCTAAAACAAATAATAGCTATACCAATAATGAAAGTAAATTATATTACACGTTTTTTAGAAGTTAACTAATATGGTATTAATCGAGTTTTTTCTAAAATATAGCTATTATTTCTAAAACAAATAATAGCTATACCAATAAGCATGTTTGTCAGATTATTGAGGTTTTTTCTAAAATTAACTAATATGGTATTAATCAAGAATATCACAATTTGAAGCCATTGGTTGTGAACTTTATATCATACATATTTGGCTGCTTATATTTAGTTAAATTTTAATATTTTACTTTTATTTGTAATAATTAAAAAAATTATATTCTTTAAACAAATATATATTCTAGTTTTATTGACATCCAATAACCACAGTCATTAAAAACTAAACTAATGATAAGATATGAATAACTTTCACGAGGAAATTGCTATAGTAATTGCAAACGATAAGAATCTCAAGTACAGTTGATTAGTCCCAAGGAAAAAGAAAGTACAGGTTGAAAGTAGTCATGATTCTTGTCCTCTAGAAATGTGCATCATAAGAATAATAAAGCAATACAAAATAATGCAACCCTTTCACAAATGACAAACATTAAAAAATAGCTCATTTTCATCTATAAAATTAACATATTTTTTCCATCCTCCTTATCTTATTTCTAAAGAGTAAATTGATTTGGGTCACACTTCAAAACTATATAATGAGTGATTACTTCTTTCATCACTCATTAAAGAAATACTTTCATCAAATCTTCTTAAATGCATTTAATGGTTATAAATTTTAAAACAATAGATAAACGTGGAAGCTCTGTCAATATATATCATATTTTATTTTAGATATAGGCATATAGCATTTAGATATTCTGAAAATATACAAAAAAAGGAAAATAAATAAATAAAATAAAAAATACTAAATCATATGGTAATAAGAAAATAAGATAAATGAGAAAATAGCAATAATCAATCTCCCATTTTATGGATGGGCCACTTTACTAAAGGGTAAAAAAGACTTCCGTGAAATGAGGGCTTTCTCTGATTATTTTTTTAATATATATCTTCTACATGCTTTGTCAATGGTCTCAAGAAATAAACTGATAACGCATTGGCTTAAATATGTGCAACTAAAATTAATTTTTCATAGGACAATTATAAGTATGTTGACTCTCTAAGAGGTATCTTGTTTCCGGTATATGCTTTCCTACATAATTTGTCCTTTATTGCCTGCCATCTGCTAAACAAGATAAAATGTGCTAATTAATCAGGCATTTAAACCTAAATCTATTGCTTAACAAATAAAAGGTGTGATTAACTAAAGTTGGGTCTAAAATAACTGCTGTGATGCTTATTGCCTCTTTAAAATTGGGGGATGGAGTGAGCTGTGGGGGGTGAGGTTTATGTTGGGGGGTTGGGAAGCATAACATGCAGCCTATAATCTTATCAAACAGAAATTGGAGAAGATAATGAAAACAAGAATGGCCAAATAATAGTATACAAAACTATTATCATTCAATCAAAGGTCCCAGAAAAAATAGAAGGGCAATAACATTTATTAGAGTACCAGCATTGTTGTCTAAAATCCATCTCTAGGAGCATGGGAGTTAGGAGCAAGAGGGCATTAATTAATCCAAAGACCAGTTTGGCAGGTGTCATGTCAAGTCAAGCACACAATTTTCAACGTTAAGAAAGGTATCATTCAACTAATCTGTTGTCACATAGGAAAAGACCAAATCTGTAATATAAATATTTTATTTAGATAACATTAATATATTACTTACCCAGTGTTGAAAACGAGAAGGCATTATATTAATATATATATTAAGGTTATTACTGTCATATTAGGCTACACAACTAGAAGATGACTGAAAAATAACATTGCACAGAAATCGAAGCTATGTAGGAACAAATGTTCGTTACCTCCCTAGGCATTAATGGACAAGTACCACAAGATCTCACTACACTACTACTCATATAGTCAGATCTAGAGTACTTGTCACCTTTGCTTGCTGATTCCCAGTCTCAAGTTCCCTAAACATTGTGCCTTTCCTTCTCAATCCTTCTTCCTGTCTTGAGAGAGTGGAAGACAAAGAGAGACAAAGCCTCTTGTCTACTACCTCATCTTCCTCCCATGTTCGCTTCCTCTTTTCCTTCCTTGGTGCAATATTTAAAGATAAATTCAGATCCGGTTCATTGTCTTCCCTTTTCCATGATCTCATTCCCAAATTTTGTTGCTTTTCCATCTCTTTATCATGCATGGAATTGAATTCTTCATGCTTTGGTTTTGCCTCAACACTGCTTGTGTTTGCTCGAACATTAATGAAAGAGCTGCGTGCATGGAAGTCCCAATTGCTTAGTGGTCTCTGATGCATGAGGAAGGAGCCATCAGCTGCAGGGCTGTAAGATTCTGGTCTCATTGAATTCCAAAACCCAGGACCAATCCATGAAGAGCTATATCTATAGAGGTGAGAGAAAATTTATCATGGAATTAATAATCATTTAACTGATTAAATGGGCATGCATTAAGTGGAATAATAATGGGATTATTATACCTCATATTTGAATATCTTTGCTCAAAACCATTTAAGATTGAAAGATGACTATGGCTATATAAATTCCGCTGATCTTCAAGATCCATAAGTGTTCTAATTGGATTAGCTGTAACTACAAAAAAAAAAAAAATTAAGAGAACAGAATTTTTTAAGTTGTTATTTTTGGATTGATTTTGTTCCCAGTTTTTTGCAGTACAACTTTCTGAAACCAATCCATTTGTTGTAACATCATCAATACCTTGGCCAGAATCATCAACCTTCTTGCTTCGATACATCTGATGTGCAGAAATTAGAAGAAAATAAATAAAATTGCAATATAAAAACATAATTAATAATAAACAGGATTAAGAACCACCTGCAAATGGCTCTTGACATGTGCAATACCAAGGCCCCTAACGTTCATAAGTTGAAGAACCAGCTTAGGTGTTGCTCCTGCAGCTCACATAAGTCATAACTAATCCCTAAACATATAAAATATAGGAGAGATTTTAAAAGGGAAAGAGAAGGAAACTAACGATCTTGGCCACCGAGTCTTTCCACCGCACGAACAAAACACATATGGAGATCTGGCGTCCACCGAAGCCTTGGAATTTTGGATCTGTTGTACTGTCTCACAGTCCCTGAACTAACCTTCCTCTCACCTTCTTCAACGGTGCTGTTGCTTGAGCTTCCTTCGGTCTTAGGGTTCTCTTCTCCTTCTTCATCATCTTCATCCTTTTCCGAAAGATTAGGTTTTTCAGATTCCTCTGAACAAGCACTGTCCATAACAGGACCTTTCTTTTCCTTCTTTTTCAATAGACAGAAAGGAAAAAAAACTGAGATTTTTCACTGTGATTGCCCTATCTACGCCATTTTTGCTGCTGCAGCTTACCTGAAACGTTGAAAGGAAGGAGGAAGGAAGGCTGAAAGAGAGGCTCTGAAAACCCTGGTTTACTAAATTAATTTTTTTTTTTTTTCCTTCCTGCTGTTGTGTCTGCTATGATTATTTTAGTTTTATGTGTATGTGGCATGATATGTCTTGCATGATGGTGCATGGGTAGGTTAGGTTAGTTTTATTGAGTTTGTATGCACATATCCCATGCATGCATGACTGGGTGGAGAAAGAAGATGTGATGAAAAGTAGATAAATATGAGTTGTTTTTGATGGTGACATGAACCTATACGCAGAGAAGAAAATGATCCGAGAGAATCACGGAAGCCCAGCAGAAAAAAAAAAAACAATATGCCGCCAGATATGCATGTTCATTTATTTAAAGTTTGTTTTATGATCTACTGATCTCCTGATCTTCTTAATTGTCGAGGGGGAAAAAGGGTGGAGTAAATGTACAACATGTATATAACTACAATTCTCTCTAAAAGCCAGGCCTACACTGATTTTGAGGTAAGGTATTAAATTTGACCTCACATAAGATAACCTGGCTTGAATTAGTTGACAAAAATTTAGGTTTAAGATCAATGAAAAAAAAATTATTTCACTATGAGGAAGAAAATAGCAAAGATGAGAATTTTAGTCCTAAAAAACAGCCAAAAAAAGGACAAAGAGAAAACATGTGAAAAAAGAGTAATAATATATTAATGGAAAGAGAATGAATAATCATATATAGTAATTTCTCACTCAAAGAAGCCACTTCTATCCGAAAATGAAATTTAATAACTTTAGCATAATGGACCAAGGCTATACTACTGAATTACTGAACTGGATTGCTGCCCCATGCTACCTATTCTAGTGTGCCAGATAGATGAGGTGCAAAGCAAAAGGCATCTATTGCCTTAATCAATTTAACTCAATGACAAACCCGAATATTTGGTAAAAATCATAATCTTTGATGGAAGCACAATTCTCAATAGATTTTGAAAAAAATTGGATACCTTTTTGTTTGACCTCATCACCCTACAAAAAAAAAAGCACTCCTTGCTCGTAGGGGTTATAGTTACCATGACCGAGTTGTTTCAGGGATAGTTGTTTGAGTTAGTCAACAACTATCAATGGAATATCATGTTCCAATCTAATATTTACTTTTATGAATAAATGTTCATTTTTGACTATAAAGTCACCTAATTAAGTTAGGATGACGAATAAAAGCATTTGGCGTGATAGATGAATTAGCATAAGAATATATTGAGAGCTAAATGGAGGTGGTAAGGATGTGATAAAGGGGAAGAAGAACAACCTCTAAAGAGAAACTCCCATCACAAACTCTTGAATCTATGGAGTTTGGAAAAACGATCACCTCACAACGATAAAAGAGGTTGGTCATACATCTCTATGTCTAAGTGATCACCTTGAATCATCTGATATGGGGAATAGAAGAGATGTAATGCATCGAAACGCAACGAGGGCCAATTAGTGTTTTACCTTTGGAATAGAAGAGATGGCCACCATGGATTTATTCATCAGAATTTTGAATTGAAGTGATTATCTTAAATATATAGATGGTAAAAACACAAAGAAAACAATGTTTCTAATAATGTTTAGCAAAAAAATAACAAAAAAGGGATTTTTAAAAAAATGCAAAATCGTTATCACCTTCATATTGACTGATGGACATTTTCTAAACTTTTTTTTTGTATAAATAAGCTCATGCCCAACAAGAAAGATACAAGTGTCAAAATTTGAACTTTTTCAATCATGACCTGACTAGTATCTACTATCCTTGAAACCAATCTAGAATAAGTTGAGAAAAGCTCGAGTAACATCCACTTTAACAAGTGCTCTAGCAATTGATATTCTTAGTGGTTTACAAGAAAGAATGCCAATATTTAACTATTTTTTAAATGTTAAACCTTAAGGAAAAAATAGTTTATTGAAGAGGAAGCCTATGTAAAAAAAATGAGATTTAGGATAAAGGAATTAGACATTTATTATGTAAATTAGTGTCTAGAAACCACTTTCTAATTATTTTGAAGATGCCATAAAAAAGAGTCAATCTTCTACCCTATAAAATTTTAGATAGACATGTTTGAGTCTTGATAGATAAATGACACTCTCACTATATGAATTTCATTCCTTCACATAGTTTTTTAATGATGGCATGGGTGATCTGCCACCAAAACAATTTTCCTCTAAGACCGAGTGAAATAAAACTATTAATTTTTTCAGCACCATCAAACTAGGCTTACAATCTAAAAATGGATAAAGATTGTGGTTGAATTTTAATTTGGAAAGAAGGGAACAATAATTAATTAGAAGAAGGAGAAATGAATGGTATATAATAATTCCCATTGCAATGAAAATTGAATTTTGAGGAGATTTTTATAAATCCATAAACTTTGATACTACCTTTGTTTGGATTAACTAGGAATCCAAAGTAAAATGTGTCAAAGACAAGAGATCTGGAGGTGTAGTAATAGAGTGAGGCAATAGTTTTGAAAGAATGAGGGTAATAGGGCATAAAAATTAATATGTTAAATAATATGAATATAATCTATTAACTTTGATGTATACTAAGCAAAAGAAGAGGAAAATTGCTAAGGTACAAATTAGCTTGAGAAGGAGGCAAAAATGGATTAATCAGCATTGAAGGAGAGTAACATAGCCAATCAAAAATCATAGGGGAACCATCAACAAGGAGAATACCTACTCATAATGATCTAAACACCTAATTTAAAATTATATAAACAAATGTCTTACCATCAAACAAAGTTATTAATTTATTATGGCTTCCAAAGACAACTCTTGAAACCTAATGATAGCTGGCAAAAGCATAACTGAAGGTAGCAAGAATGTTCAAGATAAGTCATTTAAGGTTTAGATAAAAATTTGGTTCACCTACACTTCAAATATTTGAAGGGCATTTTGTAATAACATAAATTTAACTTATATATTAAGATGAGATAAAATAAAATTAATAGCAAATTATAATTTTTCATTATACTTATATGAAGTAGGTAGTTCATTTTGATTCTATATTTAATCAAATCTTAACTTTTTAGTATTTGATATCATAATGAATAGAAGTTAAGTCTTTTAGTGAAGGAAAGAGAAAAATATTTGATAAGCCTTGGCTTCTTACTACATACAACTTAATATAATTTCAATGCATATATAACACTTTTCATTTAACATTTAGTATCTAAACAACATTAATTTTTAATGGAGGCTAAAGTTCCTTTTTAGCACCCTCATGGAAATGTTGTATAAAACCAATCCAAAATATTAGCATCGAAAAATATGATGTTAAACTAGAATAAAATTGAAATATTTTATTGCCAAAATTGGGATTAGTAAATGTATTAGAGTCAAAAAATTCCAACTCAAATCTCTTGCATCAAATTTAGCATTCGTAAATATTAACGTTAATAAGTGATCAGATCAATGGCTGTCACAAAATTAGCAAGGTTTTTGTGTTTGTATCTGTCTAACCCAATTTGCATCGACCTATATTCAACACAAATTTGCGTTGAAATGCCATCAATAAATATCCATCATGATTGTTCGAGCTCTTGCGAATAATGTCTGAATTTCCGACGCTATTTCTATGTAAACCATTACAAAACAAAAAAAAAATGTAAAAGAATGATTAGATTTTCATAAATCTGCACAAATATGAGTGGCATAGTGACTTAGTTAACTATCTTCAAAACTCATAAAGTACATCACCAACAAGTGCAAAAAATGATAAAAAAACATAACATAATAAATACTGATCTAAACGTATAGAAGTTCACAACTACAAACAATAAATGTTCCCATAAACATAAATGAAAAAAAATGAAAACCTCTATGGCGGGGGAACATCATCAAACACCCAATGAATTTCCTAATCCTCCTCCTCCTTATCTACAATATTACTTATATGTCACTTGTTGTGACGATCAAAGCTCTTCGTCAAGCTTGCTAGACTACTTACAACTATCTTCTAGCCTTCACGCACCCGACAGAGCTCTTTATTCATGGTGTTGACCTGTCTGTTAAGCTCGTCATGCTGGGCCTGTAAAGAGCTAGGGCCATGTAGGCACTATTTTGGTTTGGAGGAGTTACCCGTAAGAAGTTGTCGGTCACCAGAATCGAAATCCCGCCGCCCACTTTGGAAGGACGTTTTAATGTTTAGAAAAATATGAAATTAAACTGACCCCATATTTTCTATGGTTTAAATAAAAGAGTGTTGTACCTCAAACCCTGTATTTATCCCAAGGATAAACACAAGACTTGAGGATGAGACTCGATCAAATAAACTAAGAAATATATGACGTCCGTTTGGTCTGTGAAATCATTTTATTTGCCAACAATTTCCCCTATTTAATATGAAGAATTAAATAGGGTTTATATTAAGATGGGTTCGAGAAAAGCTTCCTATAAGGGCAAGCCCATATAGTTAAATGACCGAAGTCACCTAAAAAAACTCTCGATAAAAATCAGGATATATTATCTTCAAGGAGTTCAAAGGAAATGACTTTTCAACGAAATCGGACAATGAGGTGTGAAATGTGATTGACTCAAATTTGGAGCATTTTGTTTTAGAGTCCAAAAGAGGAAGAACTAAGGGATGTCATAGATTCAGAGGAGAATCTTGGTGACTTCCCAGTCTATCCTATTGTTTGACTTCAGTTTTAAGGAGAAAAAATTTAAGTGTTTCATCCTGCTAATTTTATTAATCTTACATTTGTGTGGAACTACATTTGTGTGGAACGATCACACAAATAACTTAGAAGATGTGAGAATTTAGGTCATGATGAATGATAACCTTGGAATTCTAAGACGAGTTAGGTCTTATATTGTACATCAGAGCTGTTCAAAAGGCCTAAAGATGAGGTGAGGATTTATGTTGCATAAGAAAATAACCTCAAATTCCTATAGGTTGGATGTTTAATTCTAAGGAATGAATTGGTATAGCTGGTGAAGTCATGTTTCGCTGTTGAAGATGGCCGTGCTGCCCAGCATGCTAGCTTCAAGCTCCTTGCATTAACGAGTTTGAGTTTTCTAAGGTGTCAAGTTATGATGTCAAATCATGTGGCCCTATGGT